AAGAACGTGAGCAAATTGTCAAGTGCCGCACGTGTACTTAGTTAATTACTAAGGACGTGACATTAAGCTGTAAAACTAGATGGTCACATGATTCAACATGATATCATAGCAGATAAGAAATCATAGGTTCAAATCTCACAGCCACCAAAGAAGCAAAGAAAAATATTTCCACGCGTTTGGTACCTGAAAAAGAATCAGTGCTACACGTAGGGGAAATTGCTGACCATAACAAAGTAAAAATCTACTTTAAATTATGATCGCCAAATCTTCAAAGAGAGGTAGAATCATCTGTCTGAGAAGTCCCATACACATACAGTAGCATCCTGGAAAACAGCCTCAGAAGCTCTCAGTTCTCTGAAGACAACTGCTGGATTTGAGTCTTCACCTAGAATTTGCGGGAGTCCATGTCGTTGACGCTGTATATTAAAGAAGAACATACCATAAGCCAATGATGTGTAATTCAATAGAAGCAATCAACTTTAATAGCAGCAATAAGATTATCATATTTTCCTTTCTTACATCAATCACTTCAGAATCGTTTAATACCTTTGTGTATCCGAAGGTATGTTCCTCAAGGCATCGAAAATGGTTTACAGCCTGAAATTCGTTTTGAATTGCATGTACTAACTTTCTTCTTTCTTCCACACCCTCATAGAAAGCTACCTTGAGTAATTCTGTTTCATCTTCAAGAATTCTCAATCTCTTATCAAGTAGTTTAACTTGTTCGGCCTGCACAATCTCCTTATTCCTATAACCTTCTTCTGCAGAAGAATTCGTTGAAGAACTTTCAGCCAAGTGAAGTGAGTATGCGTTGTTGTATAACGCGAGAGATTTTCCCTTGTTGCCTGACATGCTAGCTGCTCCTAAAAGCATACTGATACATATATTCTTCCGGTCTGAAATTATTCAAATTATTAACAAAATCTTGAATGCAAAAATTTCTGGTGTATTATATGAGAAAACGTAGAGGTCTGACTCTTAATTGATAATAGCAGGGTGGAAAACCGGTAAACGAGAAGTATTTGTCTTGAAGCTGAAAGAGGCATATTTTGGATGCATATAAGCAGAAGGTATTAATGCCAGTGCTTTCCGAGTACGGCAGTAGCTTTAGGGTGTGTTTGGTATAACGGAAAACGTTTCCGTATCCAAGAAATATTTTTCAAGAAAATATTTTCTTGAAAAATAAGTAGTAATCTTATTCATTTTTCGCTGTTTGGTACACAAATTAAGGAAAATAACTTCTTAAGAGTATTCATAAATAATTAGGTACAATAAACATGAAGTCATAAACTTTCGAACCCATAAATTTCATAAACTTTCGAACCGCTAAACTTTCGAAACCGTAAAATTTCGAACCCGTAAACTTTATAATTTCTAAACTCGTAAACTTCCAAACACATAAACCTTCGAACTCATAACTTTGAAACTTGTAAAATTTCGAACCTGTAAACCGAAAGATACAAAAAAATAAAACTGAAAATATAAAAAGAAAATATTTTTTTCGGGGGGG